ACCTGTGTCCCCTGCACCGGCAGGCGGACTCTCAACCACTGCGCCACCAGGGAAGCCCACACATACAGATTTATATCTGAAAAGCACACGTGACATTTAGCAACCACACTGGTTCCCTGTGTGGAGTGGAAGGATGTGGGGAGGAGGGGCTAAGAAGAACACCTGCACCTTTTTCTTTTTGAATTTAGAACTGTGAGTGTGTATTATCTGTACATTTTTTCATTTAGAATTTTAATTTGAAATTTAAAATAAATAAAATGGCTGCTCCACTAGCTGGCACCAGGTGAATATTAGGTCCTCGGCACCAAACCCTTCACAAGTCGACCTGGCTACTGCTTTCTGCAAGGGAGTGCCCGGATCTGGATGGTGGCTGGGGCAGTGGCTGCAGCACAGGAGGTGATGGTGCAGAGAAGCAGCAACGCAGAAGCTGAAAGGCACTGCAGTCAGTCCATTCAACTGCTTCCACATTGCCACGCAGTGTGAAGGTGACAACAGGTAGTGTATAGACATGTAATCTGAACCTATTTTTTAAAAACTCTAGGGTCACATCTGTTCCCCTTATTTAATAGGGTCTGTCAAAATTTAAAAGATTATCCAATTATGCTATGTTTCTTTTAAAGCCAAATTAATTTCAGGTTTAGGAAGACTGCTATCAGGACTTCCCTGGTGGCTCAGTGGTTAAGGATCCACCTGCCAATGCAGGGGACACAGGTTTGAGCCCTGGTCCGGGAAGATCCCACATGCTGCAGAGCAACTAAGCCTGCGAGCCACAACTACTGAGCCCACGAGCCACAACTACTGAAGCCTGCGTGCCTAGAGCCCACGCTCCGCAACAAGAGAAGCCACCGCAATGAGAAGCCCGCACTCAGCAATGAAGACCCAATGCAGCCAAAAATAAATTAATTAAGAAAAAAAAAAAACAGAAAGACTGCTATCATAGTAAATCATCGTTTCTATATGTGTAATTTTCTGAGGATAGCAAGGGCATGGCAAGTTTATAGGTGTGCACTAGCTTGGGATTAATCTTCTTTCCAGCTCTCCATTGCTTATCACCACTATCCATTATTACTTTAAGATAGGAAAATGGGAGTGAACTCTATGCCCTGATTTCTTTACCACTCTGCTCAATCACAGCTAGACCACCCAACTATCCAGAAAGGAGGAGAAAAGCCAAGAAAGCATGTGTTCCTGGCCAGTCCCTCACTGGGTGAGAGTGGCCTCTGGAAGCATTAATGCCCTGGCACTTCTGAATTGCCTGGATTATGAGCTGAACAAACCCCCAGACATAAGAGAGCCCTCAGGCAGAGAAGCAAAGAAAAGGCAGTGCCCAAAGTGGGAGCAGTGGGTGGGCTTGGGAACTGTCCACTGCAGGTGCAGAGAATGCACAGGTGGATGGTGGGGATATGGTGGCGGCGGGGAGGGACTGACAGCAGGTGTTACTGGAAGGATCAACAGAGGAGTATAAGGAGGACTAAGAAAACGTATAATTGGAGATGTCGGCGGCGGGGTGGGGGTGGGGGGAGAACTTGCTGAGAAAGAGAACAGAATGAATGGAATGAAGGAAAGAATGAGGTAAAGCAAAAGAATGACCTCAAATGAAAATTAATACTCCAAAGAGAGGTTATTTACTGACAACTTTCTCTGAGAGGAGCATTATTCTCATAGGCATTATCTAGCCTTGACATGTTAAAGCAGAAAATCTAGGTGAAGAAAAGTACGGGGTACCTTGGAGAGAGGTAAATAACATTGCAAACCCGACATTCCTCTACTGTTTCCAGCAGCTAAGATAACCATTTACTATGTATGTTTCCACCTACCCCTGGTGTAGATTTGTGGGCATGTCTACCTTTCCCTAGTGCCATCCCTGAAAGAAGATAAGGCTTTTAGAATGATCATGCTTAATGTCTAAATCCGACCTGGCTGGCAACTTCAGCGTGGTTGTCACAGGGATGTGCACACTGAGATGAAGAATTATAAGGTAGAAAAATCAAACTTCATTAGTTAAATAGATCTTTCAAATAATCCTGTATTAAGTTATCTAATTTCATGATTTAGACTTTTTTAAAAAAAAATTAATGAATTCTAAGTGGAAACCCTTGTTTAAACATATGTGTGTATTTGTATATTTCCTATTCTACTCCTAAATGTTAAGTTTTATTTAAAATAGATTGTTAAAGCTCTAGATGAATTCATTATTAGAAAATCTGAGTGCAGTATCGTGTATAATTTATGTGTACATTTTGGTGTAATTTCTGAGAAGTATTTTAGAATCTCTGTGTTTATGCATGTGCATACAAAGAAAACCAGTTGTTCTGAGCAAATATGAGAAAATAACTTTTACATTGTTAACCTACTGGTGTTAAAATTATTTCATGGAAACTCTCCTGAATAAAGGCTATTTTGAGCTAACTAAACAAATACTAGAAACTTAATCTGAAAGGTCCTCCTAGGTCAGCTAAGGCAAGATTTCATTTATAAAAAGATTTAAATAGATCTATGATTCAACTTGTTATGTTATAACGGACAGAAACTTCTTTAAGTATAGAGCCATACTCACCATGGGCAATGATGATCCATCTTCAAAATACATCTAAAAAAAAAAATCACACATACAAAACTCAACATCCCACAAAATTTTAATCCCAATACATTATAAAGAGGAAATACTATTTCAAAAGAGTCGTGGTGAGTAAAATATTGCAATGTTATTTACTTATCTAAAAACTGAATAGTAGCCAAAGGCTTCATCTAAAATAAACACACTACGGCCAATTCTAGACGATCCAATAGTAGAACTTTAAATTCAAAATATACATACTTTAAGATGCAAATAAAATAATTTTCTAAAAACAAGCAGTATGTTAATATACAACTCTTATGCTAAAGATAAAGTGCAAAGTGTCAACAGATTTATAGAAAGTCTGGATAAAGCTTTTCCGTTAATATCCAACCTTAAGCCAAGCAGTACTGTCCTTGTAGTGTAAGTATATAATAACACCTGACTGTCATGAAGCCAATGGAGTTATCTTTATAAAGAGGGAAATGAATCACAGAAGTACTTGTTAACTAGAACCAGCCAAGTATGAGCTGCGAAAAATCATGCACTTCATTCATATCAGCGAAAATCTGGGGGGAGAGGGGCAACCATGGCCCTCAGCCACACTCATATTAATGCAAGGGACTATGCTGCTTATACTTCCTAAATAAAGGTCTGAGAAGCATGAATAAGGAGAAAAGGAAATAATGTGGAAAGCGGTGAGAAAAGAAACATATTAATAAAAAGACCACCAGCATATAGACATTTTAGAAGTAAAAGGTTTTCTTACTTATCACAGACAGAACAGTGATGGCAGCGATCTGGTTTTATAAGTTGGCATCTGTCACAATAGCGGATTGCTATGAAAAAAGAGTTCCACTTAGCCTTAGATTTAACAGTGAACTGAATATACAATTAAATAGCTTTTAATCATCTATCCAAATTTAAATTCTAAAAAGCATAATGAATTTAAATTCGGTAAAAATGACATATCTGACTGCGTAAATACAAAAATGGAATGACTTGCCTATAGCCTCAGTTCTCTGGAGAGGTTTCCCAAGAATAGAAAATCTTTTGGGGAAATTTTTCTAAGGCATGCTCAACTATAAGTATGCTATATAATTATAAAGCAGTCACAGTAAGATTCACAAAGGGTGCAACCATGTCCATTTCTATCAAAGTAAACAGAATGTCTCCCTCGACTAAATCAATTCATTTCCAGTACCCTGCCAGGATAACTAGGGGAGGATACAACCACATTCTAGAAGTTTGTTGAGAAACACATTTTAGAAATTTGTGAATAAACTCAATTGGTTGCTTGAATTGGGAAAGCACTCACATCTTTTCTGCTGGGTGAGATACAAGATTAGAAATGAGTATTGCAAGAGGTATTTCCAATAGAGAATTTTAATTCTTGTGACTGAAGTCCTGATCCTTTCTTCTCTAATACAGATATCAAAGACAATTATGGAGGATTGATCTGGAGATGCTCCTTCAGTACACAGGCATCTGACAGGATGCACTCAGTCTGCCAAAATTACAGGAGATCAGTTAAGTGGGCAGTCCAGTAGGACCAGCAAAACCAATACTAATGAACTTAAAATTTGGAAAAAATACTTGCAACACGCAGTTACCAAGATTACATTAGCTAATACTATAATCTCTAAAAAACGGAAATGGTTGCTATAAACTAAGAATAAAATGAGGTTTATTTTTAAGACAACAAGGCCTAGATGGAGTTGTTTTCAATATTGAAATAATTCCTTAATCATCCCCTTATAACTTTCTTTTTCAGAAATTCCAGAGATGGATGGCATGGCCTGCTCATCTCCTGAATGAAGAAGCCTCACAGGTACATCACAGGCTCCAGACACGCAGGCTCAGCGGCCATGGCTCACGGGCCCAGCCGCTGTGGGATCTTCCCGGACCGGGGCACGAACCTGCATCCCCCTGCATCAGCAGGTGGACTCGCAACCACTGCGCCACCAGGGAAGCCCCTTAATGATATATTTTATTTCACCTAATATATCCAAAATATTATTTCAACATAAAATTAATATAAAATATTAGTGACATATTTTACTTTTTTTTTATACCAAGCCTTTGAAACCTGTTATGTGTTTTACACTTACGGTCACATTTTAAGTTGTCAGTAATCACAACTTAAAAGACTAGTGGTTACCATAATGGGCAGCATGGGTCTAAAGTCACAGAATTTCCAGGTGAGTTTTGGTGGGCAATGCTAGATTCTCTCCAAGTGGTGATCATCTCTAAAGTACACTGGGGTAAAAAAACCTTTCAAATTAAAGTGGGCAATAACTCACAAGAAATCAAAACAATGTAGAAAAAGGTTTTGTTTATAGTCTTTCAGAAACAGAAATTTAGTCTTATAATAAACTTATAATAAAAAAACACTCCATGTGCCATATTATATTCAACTAAAATCATCCCACTGGAATTTTAAATGAGCCATCTGATTATTATTTAAAAAGTTTTAACAGTGGAGGGGGCATTTTATTTTAACTGTCTTGCTTGAATTTTTTGAGAATTTATTCATGTATTATGTGATTTAAAACTTTTTTGGTACATGTTGAAAAGGAGACATTACCAACATCTGTGTGCAAAATGATAAACGAATTACCTCACTTCTAATGGTTACCTTCCTTGTCAAAAAATCTACAACTATTTTTTTGTAGGAAAGGATCGATAGCAAGGGAGAGTTAAGAAAGCAAGTAGTTCTCATTAATAAAAATAAAAATAAATAATAATATAATAGAGTTTGGAGAACCCTGTAAGAAAGCAAGATATGGTTGGATCAGAAGAAAGCACAGGACAAACAGAAGTGAGATGAGGAGGCTAAATACCTGCCTCACTACACCCTACACCCAAGTCCGTATATGGCTGACTTTGTTCTCTGTGTACAGCAGTCAGTATATAGGCAGCTAGTATTTTTCTCTTTTAGGTTTGGAGGAAGGACTGTGGATTGAGAATGAATGGGAAAACCCCAAATTATATTGCCATCTACTTTCCTCAGTTCTCTTAAGACGTATAAAGTGTGTGAACATCAACTGAGCCTTTCAGTTGCTTTAGTCCACGGCCTTTCGCAGGGTGAAGAAGGAAGTTACCCAAACAACCCAAGGGTCTTAGCTGGGGATGGGGTAGGAAGGACCCTTCTCACATTCCTGCCTTGGGGGTACTATGGCTGCTTCACTGGACGTCCTTTCTGCATCATGATTACCTTTACGTTCCACATATTCCAGAAGGAGATCAATCACACCAGCATTATAATCTATTATACTTTCTGTAATTTGAGTCAGTGACTCTAGTCAGTTAATATTGATTTTAGCATGCATCCAGAATTTTTGCACTAAAATTAGAAAGACTGTATCAGGAAGTTCAGATTCTGTCCCAGACTGTCATGAATATTGAGAAATATAAGTTCATCCTAGGAGATAGGCATACAATACAAGAGATGACAGCCTTACCAGTACATAACCCACACAAGATAACTTATAAATCCAAAGGGTAGTTGTTATTAATGAATAGTAATACTTCATCCTGGTATGACTTATACTTCCCTCCTTGGTCTTAATGTGGTATAGCAAGGGGTCTAGTAGAAAAAGCACTTCACTAGGAATGAGGAGATGAGATTTTTGCACCTGATACTGTCACCGCCATTAACTAGTTTTGCCAACTTGTGTAGTAACTTATTTTTAGGGGGCTTAAATTTCCTCAATATTAGTTTAGGCTTATACAGAGTAAATATATGTAAACATACATAAGCACATCACTCTCTTTATGGGATAGAACCAGTGGCATAATATTAAATCAGGGAATGACCACTTGCTCATTGAGAAACAGTAAAAGCAACAGGAAAAAACCAAGTGTGAAGCTTAGCGTCATATTCAATTATGACTCTAAAGTGAGTTAGAAACAAATATAAATAATATAAAAATATTAACAAGATATTTTACAGTCCTCTTTTCATACCAAGTCTTGGAAACTAGCTGTGTGTTCTACACTTAAAGCACATCTCAACTTGGACTAGCCACGTTTTAAGTGCTCAAAAACCACGTGGGGCTAGTGGCCACTGAAAGGGACAGGATACATCTAAAGTCACAGAGTTTCTTTCTGGGCGAGCCTTTGTGGGCAAGTACCAGTAGTCCATGCGTGTCAGTTTTTAAGACAATTCTTTAATTAGATAGCTGTTAAATTACCTTAGAAATCTTAGTCCAAGTAAATGAGATTTATTGAGTTGCTTTTGTGAAAAAAAAAAAACCCATAAATTTTAAAGATAAAGAAATTTTATCAATACCCGAATTAAGTTTTGTATAATTTACATACTAAGTTTTAAATTTATGTAAAATTATCAATGTTATGTTCATAACAGATACTGCTCTTTTGAATTAAATAAGAATAGGAATTAAAACTTTAAAAATGAACACAACTACAAATCAAGTTTCAGCAGTTCTAACATCTTCACTGAGTCACAGCTAGGAAGGCAGAATAGAAGTCAAGTCAGTTCGGACTTGGTTGAGATATCTGTGCCATAGCATTACTCCTGTTTCCATTCTGTTTTATGGGACTGTACAGGAGAGATTTAATAATAATCCAAGCTGAAGCACAATGTGTTTCAATGAGTGCTTGACAGTTTCAAGTAGAGATATGCTTTCTAACCATCACCACAACCCATGCTGCCAAAGCACTCGTTATCCTCTACCTCCAGACATGGTCCTGGTGTAGATGGGAAGGTCTCTGGCTGCTCGCCTAAGAACTTCCTGATGGGCTTCTCCTCTTGGCTCTCTCTCTAGCAATTCTTTTTCTGCATAAGAGAGATGGAACTGTGGAAGAAAGTTAAATTTTAATCAGTGTTCTCAAAGAAATGATAACATATTTATCTACTATACCCACAAAGAGGTATTTATAAAATATTAACAGTATATAGCATATAAATTCAAAGAGGTAATAGATTTAAAATCTGGGCAAGTCTGTTAGTCTCATGGATCACTAGTTTATAGATCTAAAAAAAGGGAAGAATAATAATAATACCTACTTCCTCAGATGTTTGTGAAACTCAAGAGAAATAAGGTATGTAAAAGTGCTTTATAAACTGTAGAGTTCTATCCAAATATTAGTTACATTAATAGATGAAATGGTAAAATAAACAAATTTGGTTCAATGGATGCATTTTTCAGTTGGTTATAATTAAAAACAAAAATAGAAACAAATACATCAAGCATGTATTCTCATCTAAGTGAATTTTAACTTAGGGATAATCATTACATGAATTCTCCAGCACTCAGAAGAACTAGTCATTGATTTTACTTCTTATACTGCCAATTGGCCTCAACCAATTAAAAAAAATACTTATTTGAGAAAAATGAAAATTTGTTTGGGCTCCAACTTGATAATCACAAAAATCTGGTTTTAAAAACTTATTTGAACTCCTATAAATGTACTCCAGGTGACATGTACAAGGGTATTCACAGCACCATTGTTTAAAATGTAAAAAACTAAACACAACCCAAATGTCCATCAAAAGGGGAACAGATAAATAAATTGCAGTATGATCTATCCAAATAATTGAATCCTATATGGCACTTAACATTTAATGAACTACAGCTGTGTACAACCAAGACTCAACCTACTGAGGAACAGATATATAAAATAAACTACTATATATAATTATGGTTAGGGATATGTATATATGATAAAATTATTTTAAAAACAAGGAAATGATTAACACAAAACTCAGGATAGCTGTTACTTCTTGAGAAATGCAGGGAAATACAACATAGAAGTACACAGAAGATACTTCAAATATAAATAATGCTTCTATTCGGTTGGGTGATCGTTTAGGTTTTTCATTTTATTATTCTTTAAACTGTGCCTTATATATGGTTTTTTAATGTAAGACATAGTTTACAATTTTTAAAAAGTTTTTAAAAAGTGATTTAAGTATGTCAATGAAGGAAAGAAAAACAATTTGATGAAAATGAGGTCATGATATTTGAACCTAAATCATTATCTTCAGAGAAATAAAAATTAAAAATCTTTGTTTAGAGGTTGGTAATTCTACTGAGGTTATTTTAAAATTAGAAACAAATCTTCAGGGTTTCCCTGATGGCGCAGTGGTTGAGAATCCGCCTGCCAATGCAGGGGACACAGGTTTGAGCCCTGGTCCGGGAAGATACCACATGCCGCAGAGCAACTAAGCCCATGAGCCACAACTACTGAGCCCATGTGCCACAACTACTGAAGCCCGCGTGCCTAGAGCCCGTGCTCCACAACAAGAGAAGCCACCACAATGAGAAGCCCGTGCACGGCAATGAAGAGTAGCCCCCACTCACCACAACTAGAGAAAGCCCACGCGCAGCAACGAAGACTCAACACAGCCAAAAATAAAAACAATTAAAAAAAAAAAAAAGAAATCTTCATCTTCCAAATGTAAATAATTTTAAGGTACCATAATATTCACAAATGCATGATTTTTAATATAGTTGTAAAATTTCAGACTCATTAAGGTAAAGAAAATAAAAATAAGTTTTCTCTAAGTAGAAATTTACATAATGTGAATTATTCTAAATTAGTATATCAAATTTACTTACATTCAATTAGTAGGTATGTTACAGTTAGGCCCCTGAAGAGTTTATGAAAGATATTTGAAAAAAAGTATTCTCCACATTAAATATTCCTCCTGCAAGATGCTCACAGCATTTGCTAACTATTAATTAATTTCATAGTGTTTCAAATTACACTTTAACCAGTCCTTTTTCAAATGAATATGAATAACAAATAAATGAAGGCCACATTTATAAAGCCTTGGTGTATTCGTTCTATCAGATGCTCTTCACTCGCTTGCTACCTTAAATCTCAGTTTATAAAACGAAATATATTTACACAATTTTCCAGATTGCGTGACTATATAAATGAGGGCCGTGAGTGGCAGTGAGCAGTATTGAGTCTCAAATCCAGAAAAATAGGACCTTGCAGCCTGATCCTAGAGGCTGTGGCAGGAGTAGCAGCAGATTAAATACCTTAGAGTCAAAGAAAAGTTTGGGAACCACATTTCCAACAGGTGGAAAACTATCTCCCAATTGGATCGTGGATTCCTAGAATCTATTCCATTGTTTTCAGAGTTACTCTGAAAAAGCAGTTCACTGGGAAGCAGAGGCAATGAGAAAGCTGTCAGCATTCGGGTCTCACTAACAGAATTAAAGACCCAACAAAGAAAAACTCAAATTGTTTATTGACCCATCATATGCAATCATATTGGTTTATCAGAGGATCTGCCAGATTTTCTTCCTCACTTAAGAATTCTAGGTTGGGCACCATGCACCTGTTGATGACACTACTTTAAAATTTGAAACATGTTATTATTCATTGTTTTTAAAAAAAGAAAACACTGACAAACAGGTAAGTGTACTGATGGTCTTTACAGAACTGTTTATCTTGTTTGGAAATATCTGAGTGGTAGAAAATGTACAACATCAAGTGATGCTGTAATTCTGTAGTAGTCGAGAAAAGGTAGGGTCGATCTAGGGAAAGTTATCTATGAACTTTGTACATGTTGATTCCTCTGCCTAGAACATTATTCCTTACACTTTCTGGATGGCTCCTTCTCATTTTGCAGGTGTCAGCTTAAATGTCATCTTCTCAAAGAACTTCCACGATTCCCTTACTAGGGTAGGGACCCTGATCATTCTGTCCCTTCCCCCTGCCATACTCTCCATCAGGTCCATGTGTGATTTCTTTGTGCTACACACCATAATTTGAAATTATTTTGTTGGTTCATTTGTCCTTTGTCTATCTCTTCCACAAGCATGTAACCCCACAAGGGGATCAAGCTTAGCACAGAGTAAGCCGTCTGCTAGAACTGTGGAATGGACAAAGGAGAAAGTACCAGGAAGCCTAAGTCAGAGCACTGAAGATCAAAGCAAAAGTTATTTTGTATCCTAGTCTCTAACTTTCCATTGTCAGAACCATCAGTCCCATAATTCAGGCAGATATATCTCCCTTGCCCATTTCTAAAAGTAATTTAAAACCTAGCATTGAAAGTTAGTTTCGTAAAAGACTTAATACTCAAAATGAATAAAACCATCGACATTTTATTACATTTTCTACAGAGTTCTGGATCCTTTTAACTTTAGAGGTAAGTTCTAGTGAGTGATGGAAATGGAAGAGTCCTTAGTATGTTTAATACTTTTATAAATAAATAAACATTACACACTGCAACCATCAGGTCCTAAAAACCAAATACATGTTGGTGGAATTGTTATTTATGTAAGATGGATGTCAAAATATCTAGTTCTATCTTGGAATGCATGAAATATGCAGTCCCCTCCCCCTCAGAACACTTTTATGTACAAACGCACATCACAGATCTGAGGAAAGATGTAGAGATCTGAAGGAATGAGAGATCTCCTGGGGTGAAAAAGATAATATACCTGACCTCCAATCTTCTAGATTGCAGCAGTCCTTTGGTCAGTAATGCAAGCTGTTTTGTTTTTGTTTAAATAGTTTTATCAATTTTGACTCATAGAAAAATTGAGAAAATGGTACAAGGTTCCCATATATCCTCTCATCAACTTGCTGATATTCCTAACATCATATATTAGCACGGTACATTTAGGACAATTAATGTATCAACACGGATACATTGTTATTAACCAAAGTCCACAGTTTATTCAGATTTCCTTAGTTTTCACTGAGTATCTTTTTTTCCGTTCCAGGGTCCCATCTAGGAGACCACAGTACATTTATTTTTCATGTTTCCTTAAGTCACTCTTGGCTGAGACAATTTTTCAGATTTTCCTTGTTTTTGTTGAGTTTGACAATTCTGAGTAGTACTGACCAGGTATTTTGTAAGATGCTGCTCTACTGGAACTTTTCTGATGTCTATCTCATGATTAGACTGGGGTTACGGGTTTTGGGGAGGAAGACCACAAAGGCAAAGTGCCCTTCTCACCACGTCATAACAAGGGAACATACTATCAATGTGACTTAGCACTGCTGATGTTGGCTTTAATCACCTGGTTGAGGGAGTGTTTTTCAGGTTTCTCCACTGTAAGGTGACTCATTACTTCCCTGTCTTCACCCTGTACTCTTTGGAAGGAAGTCACCACATGCAGCCCACATTTAAGGAGTGGAGATTTATTCTTCCCCTCCTTGAGGGCAGAGTATGTACATAAATTATTCAGAATTCTTCTGTAAAAGAGATTTCTCTTTTCTCCCCATTTATTTATTCATTCAATCATTTCTTTGTATCGGTAGACTCAAAGATATTTATTATACTCTGAGTTATACTTTATTTATACTTTATTTAGTTATACTTTATTTATACTCTGAGTTATAAATGAACACTATTTTATTTATTTTCCTGC